GCTTCCCACCAGTCAGAACAGCTGGTTTCCCCACGAGCAAGAACTTTTTTTCCCATTAGTTCTTCTTTCCCTGATTTTCCCCAGCCCAAGTCTCAAAGGATTGTTAAGTACTGTGCTGTGTGAAATAATTTTGTGGCTGCTTTGTGGGCTGTGGTATGATAGAGAAAACTAAGTTCATGCTGTTAAAACATTTGACACTGTTTCTCCTGGGGAGTCATAGCAGTTTTTTCTTTGCAAAAAGCATCATTGCCTTTTGCAAATGTCTAAACATTCTGTTACGTGGGAATGTCCATCCTTTGATATTTCCTTCACACCCTGGCGGCAGCTTCGCTTGATTTGAATGAAACAAAACGCAAGCTACCCATTGTTCCTGAATTCAAGTGATTCTTGGAAAGAAGAAAATGTGGGATGCAGCAAGGTTTGGGGGAAAAAAATTTACCTTTCCAACAGTAACGTGTTGCAAGTGCTAAAAAGAGCAGCATCTTCACATCAAATCAAGCAAGGTACAGGATTCAAGAAACAACGTGCCAAGAGGCAATTTCTCAGCAAGATGTTGGCATCAGAACACAAAGTGATGTGTCTGGAAGCAGAACTGCTGAGCTGCAAACAACCTGGGTGTGAGTCAGAGGATATTAGGACAGTGCCTGTCCACCAGGAATACAGACTTGATTGCATGTGACTTGTGTCAACTCCGGAGACATCAAGAGCAGAACATAAAAGCAAGGCAACAGAGATATTTCTAAATGAGCCATTCAGCCTCTAAGGCAATGAATCTGGCAACAACTCGAGTTTCAGGAGAAAAAAAAGTCAACATTCCAGGTTTCTGTTCCATGGTTATATCCTTAATTCATTTTTTTTTTCAGGTAAAAGGTCACCTAAACATCATGTTTTAAATCATTGGAAAGACACAATCAATCCCCTTTGAAACTAGCCCATAACTTTGAAACCAGAATCCAATTGCCTGTTCAGGCTCATTAGTGTCTTTGGATCCTAATGACCCACTCAGTTGCAGTAAATGAAAAACTAATCCTTGTTTTATGCCATTGGCCGAAAAGGATTAGCCAACTCTTGCTACCCTTGCAATCAGCCTTGCACTGGGGGGGATTACAACCATCTAATACTGTAAGTCTACACATTCCAATCTGTTGCAATATGTAGCACTTAAAGCTTATTTCCTTGAAATGCTTAAACGTATTAATGCCAGAGTGGAAGGTTGTTTTCTTGGGAGGCAGGGATTCTTCTACCCTGTCACGGCCCCCAAAAGCATGCATGTCACCCATGCACAGGCAGAGATGCACTCCCAACGTGGAGTTTTAATCACGTTCATCGCCTTGAAATGAAAAATTAAATTGATTTTTTCTTTTCTTTGCACAGGGCCCAGACTGGGGAGGCACAATTGTACAGTGAGGTTCAAGAAACTAAATATCTTGAACTGTGTGGGAAGGCTGCAACTAGGGCTGTAAACCACTGAAACTTTTTTTTTTTTTAATTAAATTTTTTGTTTGATGTTTAAAATACAGGTGGTATTTTTTTTGCATCCTACTAATAATCTGAACACTGAAACAGAGCCATTACTTACTTTTAACGTGACCGAATCAACCCTGTGGGTTGTAACTCCAGGTCTGTACCACTTTTATCACTGCAGTTTTCCCAACCCAGAATTCTGGTTGTCTTTGCTATATTACAAATAAAATCATTGAGCAATGAGACGAGTCTACAGTGTCATGCCATATGCCTTTTTTTCTCCTTAAAGTATTCGGACAAGGTGTCATTGAAAATTTAGTATGGTAAAAAGTCAATTTTAACACTCTCATACTCGAATACTGAGCAATTTTTCTGGTATAAAATATAAATAACTCTTGTGGTTTTATGACCTTGAGTATTACATATAACAGCACAGCAAAAATTGTCCTACAGGGTGCTATGCTGGCCATATGCTCTTCATACTGATAGACTTGGACTGAAGTTACAGAAAATTCATAAATTCCTCTTAACATGAAATTTGATTTTTGAGTGTGAACAGTTTCCTGAATGTCTGAATTTCCTGTCAAAAGTGGTGCATGAAGCCATAAAACAACATTCCATGAAAATAAATCTTGTATCCCAAAACTGTGGGAAGTCATCACATCAGTCACAGTTTCTACATGAGTTTTGAGCATCAAACTTATCCAACTGTTGCTTATTTGTTAGCCAAATACCCCCAACTGTTTATAAAAATGTTTTACCTTAATGCACCAGCAAAACTAACAGTAAAATAGTAGATGGTTCTCCAGTCAAGGTGTTATGTTACTTTACAAATTATATTTTTTTTTTTTTTTTTTACTGGAAGACCACTTTGCACAACAAAGTTTATTTGGAGGTATGCTGTCTGTGTTATTTCTGATCAGCAAAATGTCATCTCCTTATAACTCCTATTTCTGAGGGAGAAACAAAACTGAGGTATGATTGTCTCATCACAGCAGCAGGTAGGAGTGTGAATTTCATTAGTCACTCTTCAAACATTTTACTCAACAAATTCAAAACCCCATTTATTCAAATATCATTATACTTCCTCAGAATTTGGGGACATAAAATGCTTGTTATAGATATTTATTTAACTAGCACTGACCTAATGCAGGGTGGTACACTACCTCTTGACAAGGAATTTTTCAAGCAAAGTAGTTTTATGTCAAAAACTTCATGAAAACTTTAAGTGGAACAGTAAATATATCAGGGCCCTGAGTAAACATTTCCCTTCTGAGGAGGATACTCATATGAGATTCAAAGGCAAATCCCTCCTCTGCTCATTTAAGAGGTGTTTTTTTTTGCTGTTAGTACCTCAGGGCTGGGTTGTGAGCCTGAGCTCTGTCTCGTGAGGTGCAGCACAAGGACGGAACAAAAAGGCAACCCCCACTCCAAGGACTCACAGCACAAGGGCACAGCACAGCCCCACTGCCACCTTGCTGGCAGCTGCACTGCTCTCAGGAGATTACAGCTCCCTCCCAGCTGCCACGGCCACCGCGCTGCTGGAGGTTCCTGCTCTCCAGCTCAGCTGGAGTCACGTGTGGAATACCTGGAATGTACCTGGAATTTTGCTCTCGAGCAGCTCTCACTGCACAGACAGGAGAATCTCTGCCTGCACAACTTTCAGACCAGAGGTGGATGCTGCCAGGTGTGTGGGTAAGGGACAAATCAAAATGACACTGGTCAGTGAGATACTGTGTCAGCAATCCAGCAATGTGACTGCTGTTGATTTTGTAGGCACAACAAGGGACCGTTTTAAGACAAAATTTGACAGATACTGAAGAAAAAAAATCTCAGTGTGTGTTTATAAGCAGCTCATGCTCTTAGACCTCAGTAAAGTGTCCCAAATGCTGAGTGGTTGCCTCTTTCAGAGCTCTTTTTCAGCAGCTTTCTCTTTTGTGTTATTAATCAGCCTGTCCAATTTGTGTCAGTAAGCATCCACCAAGACCTAGAACTATGGTTTGTGCCACTTCAGCCTGCAGCCTTGGCTTCTGGAGTTCAATGTCAGAGACATGGGTGACAGAACCCATCAGGGTGCCCCACATAACACAGCCTCAAACTTGCCTCTCCCTTATGCTTTTCATATTGCCAGGTATGCAGCAGACTAGAAAAGCTGTGTCTCACTTCTTATTTGCTGGACCTCAGCAGGATTTCACTAAAAAATTCTGATTCATCCCCATTAAAAAAAAAAAAATTCCAACTTTCACAAATCTCTAGGCACTAGTACTTAAGAAAATCTGGGTGATACAAATACAGTCCTGAGGAATTTAGGAGTTTGGCAGAAAAGAAATAGTGGCATAGATAACCAGGCTTCTGGTCATTTAGGGCTTTGCAGGCGAGGGGAAAGGGACTCTCCTCCCCTTTGGACATTGCTGATGTTTTTTTGGTAGACTGTGCAGATTCTATGGGTAGGATGCTTTTTGTCCACTTGTTCCACTCAGCCTATGTGCCCTCCTAAATAGTTTGTGCATTTACAATGTTTTCTGTGAAATCTGCTGAATTTGCTTGCCTGCTGTCAGGCAAGGTGTTTGCTTCGTAGTAAATGACTGAGAAACCCAATTCCCTCATAAATTTGTAAAGAACATCAGAAATTAGTAACCTGTGCTTCATGTGTAACAGGAAAAAAATAACTCCAGAGTGATCTGGCATTTCCTTCAAGGGCCATAAATGTAAAAGTTGTGGTTCTAGAGCAGGTGGTTCTGAGGGATTCACAGGGCACAGGGCTGTGCTGGCTCAGAACAGTCAGAATTCCTTGCTGAGTAACCCTGATATTGTCTTAAAAGCCATTCTTTCCATAAGGAAAGGCATTTGTGGAGAGCTGAGGGGTACATTTGTACTGATCACAGTTAGACTTTGGGAACTGTCTCTGTCTCTTTTTTGAAAGACATTAGATAAGGAGTATGTCGAGTTGAAAGACAGAATTTGAAATGTTAAGTATTACAATTGCAACATTGTTTCACTCCAGATGTTAAGAAATACCTACAAAACTTCACATAAAATTAACAAGAACGTTTATTTCAAAAACTTTATAAATCAAGTGTTACACACAGAATACTTAAAACAGTGTCTTTAACTCAAATTCAGCTCTTACTGCTACAATAGTCACTCTTACTAACACAAGTAATTTAGTTTATATCAGAGGCTGAAAGTACTCATCCAGATGTTTAGATGCTCTCACACAGATATTTAATTAACTCAACACACTGCTGTAAAATGATATTTCTGCTACTTCTAAGTGCCAATTTGGCAAGAGCATATCATAACATTTTATGAAAAAAACACCTTTAGAAAATAAATAAGAAAAATAAAAGCTGCATCTCAAAATGTGTGTGGTTGATGAACACACACATTCTTGCAGCAACTGCAATAATGTATCCTTACATTATTTCTTACAGAAATGAAAGGAGGAGATTAAATGCTTTGTACTTTAACTTCAGAAACTGAAAACATTTGTCAAGGCTAAGTAGGAAAAGAATTTATAAGGAAGTCAAAGGTATTCAAAAGAGTGTAAATTGCTTTGTATTTTGTGAGGAAGAATGAAAACCTTTCATAGCAGGAGAATGTGATGATCTCTGATCCTGTCCAAATGCAAATGGAAAACTAAAGTCATCTTTTCCATCTCCAAACGCATGAGAAGTCGATTCTGAGGCGAAGGGGAAGGCAAATGCATCCTCACTTTCAGGTTTCCCAAAGAAGCTCCCTAAATGGAATACACATTATATTAATTATTAGATTAAATCTTACTGAGAGAGTACTGCATTCAGCATATGTTTCTTTAATAACATATTATACCCAACACCCTGCTGAGCATCAGCCTACAGTTTTGTGTTCACTTCTGCACTAGAAATGGTGTTTCCAGGAGATCCTTGTTAGAATCTACATCGAGGGAAGTGTGAAGTACTGGAATGGTTTAGAACAACAAAACACTTGTGCATGATATGTTTTGCAACGGAGGTCTTTGCAAACAGAATCTACGAAAGTGTTTCTTTGGAGAACAATGGGATCCGTCACTGAAATACTTGGAAAAACAAAGCTGCTGACAGAGAAACACCTGAATTTTTATTTAGTAGAACAGAATTCACACTCTTAAAAGCAACTACATATGCATGAAACCCTATATTCTGTATTCATCTACTTTAAAAAAAAAAAAAAAAAGCTTTGCATTTCCAGCACCTCAAAAGAGAAAGATTAGATTACAGTTCCCTTCAGGCAAGTGTTTGATCAGAAGTTTTGATCGTATTGATATAACAAAAGATTGGCTTTTCCTTTCAGAAAATCCAGGATTTCACACAGATCATGCAAATGTCTGTGGCTCACTCATACTGAGTGAAAGATACTGTGTATTTTCTGATTCTGCTCTCTTGTGCCATTTTTACATTGTGTACTTTCAACAGTTTACACCAATGCAAGGTAGTTTACTATTGAGATTTCTTTAATCAAATGGAAACCTTATTTTCATTTTAGTTGAGGGAGGAAACAAAACCCAAGCAGATGTACTCTTTCCAACTCTAAGCTGGTATCTTTAAGTTAAAGAAGTATTTACCAAGTTTTACAGCTGTTTTACATTAAAATAATGTAAAATAATGTTCTTTTTCTCTGTGAAAATGCTTTGAGAGTTGAATATTTCTTCTTCCTTGCAGGTCCTCTCTGTTTGCCTTTCAGGCAAACACAGGTGCTCTGCTAAGCAGGACCATGAGCTTGTCAGTCGTATAAACACCAGCAGAAGACAAGCTGGTCTACACAAGCACATCTGGGTTCCAGACTTACCAATATCTTTGTGTGGGGACAGAGTGTTCATGTTTTCCACAGGGAAATTTTCTTCTGTCTGAAAACGTAAACAAATATTTTATTTAACAGATGAGAAAGGCAACAGAGAAGCTCAAACGCAGATAGGTAATATGGTCTTTCATTTTTGATGAGAAAGACACTGTCTCAGTGTTAGGAGCCTTCACAAAATCTGTATTCAAAGGTGATTATCACTCCCTAAAGTTGCAAGAGAAACTCTTTGACCAGATAGATTTCATTATAGTTGCACACACCTGCAAACACACTCCTTCCATTCTCCTAGAAAAAAACCTGTTGCTGTTTAAACTGAAAAAAAATCAAAATTATTTAATTCTGTGACACTTCAGGAAACCTCTAATCAACAACACAATTAGTTCCTACTGAGTAGGACCTGCCATTGCCAGAAAGAGTAGCAGGGTAATCACTTGTCACTCTTGAGGAGAGTTCTTAGGTTACATTTAAAATAGATACTGAAGTCCTTCAAAACTCCCATCTAACTTCAGAGAATCCCACCTCTGGTACAGCCTGATAATTCTTAGTTTCTGTCACTAAAGAGGCACAAAATAACATGGGTTCTGACAGCACTACATGACTTAATATCCAGCTCATTCCTCAACAATTCACAAACTACTCACCTGTGTGTTCTCTCCTTACACACAGCTCATGCTACAAGATACCAACAACACGTATCTTGCCAAACACAAAATAAAATGGTGCTTTCCCTCACCCCTCTTTCAGCTTCCACCCACTGAAAGAGAATATACCTGAGCTCAGATCCCTTATTTGCATAATGGGGTTTGGATCTCCATTGCCAAGTGGTACCTAAGCCCTGTCCTAGGCACTGACACACACCCATCCTGGATCCCAAATTATCTCCCCATTAACCCAGGAGAGGAAAATTGTCCCTACAGCACTGCAGTTAGGGAATCTGCAAGGCCAAGGAAGACCTAGATTCCATTCCCTGTTTCAAATACTTGCCTACAAAGCTCCTCCATTAAAGTCTAGCTATTCCATATTTGCTGTTCAATACCCTCAACGGTTTGTGCTTTCTTCACTTCATCAAGACAAAACCGCACAGGATGTGCATGAGAGCTGGGAATTCTGCTAGAGAACCTAAATTTTGCACTGCAACACTGAACCAGGAGCCTTTTGGTGAATCAAGTCATCTTAACATTTGCACGAGATCCACCCGAGAAAGATTCGTACTTGGTCAGAATTCATCATAGGGGGAATTGCCAGGAAAGCAGTTAAACATTTTCAAAGGACAACAAAGTAAAATCAAGCAAGATATTAAAAAAAAAGATAACCAGTCTGAAAAATCTCATTCACTATCAGTGCTGTTTTCTTCACTTACTTTGCTTTGTGCAAATTTAGGGCTCACAAGTAATCATTTTTACCTCATCAGATGAGTTTTGTGCCCCAAACACAGAAGAACCAAAGAAGTTAAAGCCAGGTGACTTCTGGGAGAAGTTCATGAGAGAAAAGAAAGCAGGAGACTTTGATGTTCCTTCTTCACAACCTAAATTTTGAATGCTGTAAATACAGAAAAGAATAAACTATATTAATAGTTTTTAAAGTAATGATGGCTTTTTTTTGTTCTATTTTTTCCTTTTTCTGTTTTTTTTTTTCTTTTTAGATCCCCATAGCTTCCATCAGTAATTTCTTTTTGCATCATAGAACAGGTAACACAATTCTTTAAAGCAAAGGTGTTGTTCTTACCAATTCTCTACCCTTTTAACAAAATCAACCTGTTTAAAGATAGAAATCAGAGGTACAAATATTACTGCAAGGAAAGACAATGTGTCTCATATGTCTAATCAGAGTCTTGCTCTTTCAAACAGCTGCAAGTGGAAAGAATATGAAAACCTAATAAATGCCTAGAATAATTGGGGGAAAAAACCCAACTGAAATATTTTCAGATGAGTTTTCTAGACAATTCTTTCTATAGTGTCTTCCAAAAACAGCAGAAAGGCTTATACAATAAACATCAGTACAACTTTTTGCTCAAGATCACAATAAAAGCTGAAATCCTACAAGTCAAATGGAGGTGTTTCATAGAAATGCATCTTCTTCCCCTTTAAGTCAGGTGTTTTAGGTGCTCTTAAAAATGGTTCAGCACTTTCTTCTACTGTGCCAGGATTATCTTCATTTGGATTAAAACTTGTGTGTACATCCTATTAAAAAGAAATATACAATAATGTTTATAACATACAAAATTTCCCAAAACATCATTAGTCCACTTACCTATAAATATGTTCATTGTATGCTCTAGGTCTAGTTATGTCTCATGAAAAATAAAAGGATTTTAATAGAGTGCTCACACTGACATATTCATCATCCTTAAAGCTGTAACCTTAATTTACCCAATTTAAAATTGACTTCCTGTGAGTCAAAAATTTCATCCAAAAAATAAAGAGACTTGTGAAGTAACATTTTCAATAAAAGATGTCATTCTAAAGGGTGTCTCAGCATCATGTTTAAGGTCCTTCTGGGATCCTCTTGATACTCCCTACTGAGATAAAGGGACATCACCATCAGAACAGATTTTGGTTGACTGAGGTATTTCATCTCCCTCAGAAAAAGTTAAATGAGAACCTACACTTGGATTCTGTGCAGCAATTTCCACCAGAATCAATCTTATTTTAAAGGCTTTCTTCTCCACCACTTGGTTTCAGGCACCATTTTTACCCTTCTGACTCTGCTCCCCATCCCACTGAGGGGGGCAGGCAGCAAGTGGCTGTGTGGTGCTCAGCTGCTGGTGAGTGTTAAACCACATCTGGATACCACCCACATGTGCAGCACAACTGGCTTGAACTGGCTTGATGTGAGCTTGACCTCACATCCAGGCACAGCTGGTAAAAGCAGTGCCAGTGGAGCCAGCACTGAGCCTGTTCATAACAGTGTCTGTGCGAGAAATAAGTTTCAAATGCAGTTTTTTGTTGTTTTTTTTTTTAATGTTTCATCAGCTCACACTGATGAAAATGTTGTGCACCAATTGATACAAAAACTCTGATGTGCACAGGATAGTCATCCTAAATGGGCTCTTACTAAGGCAGCAAAAAAACCCTCAGAACCCTGATGTGATCAAGAGCAATGATCGCTGTATTACCAGTCAGGGGGGATTGGTTGGCTCCTCACCTGGTGTGTGCCTTATAAAGAGTCACTTTGCCAGTTTCTGAGACTCACCTCGTGCCAACCAATTCCAGTAGGTCAAAATACTTTGACTATTGTAAATAAATTAATTACTTATGACATAAGAAATGCTTTGCCTACTTGAGATACCTGCGAAGATTCCTTTGGCTCCTCTGCTTCTTTATCACCACGTTTGGCCTCTCGGTGTGCTGTACAAAAAAAAAAAAAAAAAAAAAAAAGACAGGGCTGCCTGTATTAGAGCAACTTTTTAAATAGGTACCTAAAAATTACCTTGTGGGAAAGAATCCCCGAGGAAGGTTTGCCAAGTTGGCATTGCTATTGCCTAGAGAGTGTTCTGACTGCGGTTTTCATAACAACCCGCTCTGTGGCTACGTCCATAACAATCACCTCTCGTTCTGCCACTTACTCGCTCTTGTCAGAGCGTTACTCAGGCTGCTTCACGTGGTTTGGTGTGTTCTTCAAACCTGCCCATTGTTCCCTGAGAGCGCTGTGTTTGTCTAATCCAGCTATTGCCCTCTGAGAGTGCTAATGCCAGTCAATAGAAACCAGGTGGGAACAATGTGAAAAGCACATCCGTGTGACGGGGATGAAGTGTTTAAAGGAGGACGAGAAACGAGAGGGAATGTTATCAGACTTTCTGCTCCGAGCTTCAGGTCGTGCAACATCTCAGGCGCTGCAGGTTAAGGACATTGTGTTTCAAGACACAGAAGTAGCGTCTTATTTATAAAAAAATGTTGACTGTAAGCTTTTACATGCATCTAAATTGGCAGTATAATTAGAAAAAAAAATATTTAAACTGAAGTTCAGCGCCTTGTGATCTCAAAAACTGTAGATGTGTTTCTAACTACCCTGTTTTGTTTCTGCAAACATTCTGTATGTTTTTCTCCAGTTAATTTTCATGATTAATAATCTTAATGTGGTGATTCCAGATTCCTAAATGACTGGGTTTATTCTCTTTGCATTTTCTCATGCCTCCCGGGCAGATTTTGAGACTGGATTTCATTTTACCCAAGTAATTTGAAACTAGAGTATGAATTTACAGGAGATGTTGGAAGCTTCCTTTCACTGACAGTGGTCAATGCAGAATGAATCTGCCTGTCTGCTCTACTCAAAGTTTGAACTAAACAGTCAAGGTGGGGAAGGAATACAAATGGTGGCCCTCTTAATACCAGAATGAAAATTTTGTCCATAGAATAATATGATCCAGCCTTATCAAAAAAATTGCAGTGGTACCTTACCCATTGCTGCATTTTCACTCTCAAACTGCTGACTGGAAGTCAACTGCTTTGGAGGATTTGTCAGTCTAAAAGACAAAAATTATTGTTTGTCTAAAGATGAACTATCTCCATAAACCCCAGCCTTAAGAATGAAAATTAATTTATTAAAGTTACCTGAATTTCATTGGGGTTTGTATGCTTGTTATTGATGGAACTTGGGCAATTTGTTGGTTATTAGTCCCTGCAGTGTCAATAACCATCTAAAAGACAGAAGAAAAATTCAAATGAGGCAGCAAACAAAATTGTCACATCAACAGTATCACTTCGATTTCTTCTTAGACTGTGGAAATCCCTTCTTTTAACCAGGAATTAAGGATCAGGCAGTGTTAAAAAACCTTTTTTTTGCCTATATTTCCTATACCTACATTTTGACAGCATGATACCGAAACCGACTTTTATAATTTTTTATTAAGTCTTAGTCACAGCACTGATAACTAGATGTGAATAATTAACTTCTCTGTGACACAAATAAGGTTATGTAGTTTACAAACTCTATCCAGGTTTGCTGCTGCTCTTCAACACAAAAAGGGCTGGGCCAGCCCTGTCTGTGCCTCTGAGGCCAATGTGAGCATGGACATCAGTCTCAGTCAGCACAGATCTCACATGTGGATTGAGAAATCACAGAAAACATGGAAATACTCCCACCTCACAGATTTCCACCAGATCAAAAGCCCTAACTCTTATATCTAGGGTGTCTTTATGCCTTAAGGGCAGAGTGGCACCAGGATTCTATGCCTCTGCATCAGATAACATATTATTTCACAGGGAGCATCTAGTTCTGGTTTATTTTTAATTTACAAAATGTATCAAACTGAATTCAGTTCAGGGTAGGGGACAAAAGGGCTGGTTCTGCATTATCTATCTGCCACTCAACTCCTGAAGTTTACAGCACACCTTCTCTGAAGCACAGCAACCTTTCTTCCAATCTTATTTTTCCTCAGACTCCATCTTCTTTTCCTTCACCCTTTCTGAAAGTTCTCTTAACCTTGACTTACTGTTTCTCAGTATTGTCTAAGTGCAATTCTAGGTCCCAGATTCCCAGCCTCATCTCTAGATTACCCTGGCAACAGCCCCTTCCATCATCCTTGTCATGTCCAACTCCCTCAGCCAGCCACAAATCAGAATTGCTCAGCCTGGTCACTGCCCTTCATGTTGTCTTACCTGAAGACTTTTCTGGGTTGGTTCATTGTGTTTGAATATTTAAGATACAAATACACTTCACCATTTCATGAAAGTGCCATATGAGCTCTGTGCTTATGGGTGGGAGACAGAAAATGGATTTGTGGACTCCTGCAGTGTACAAAGCAATGTTTTATTCCTGTCAACCCAGATTTTTGTCTCTAGTTAAACCTCAGAACTGAGCTGGTAACTGTAGGCACACCTGTACAGCATCCTGCACATTTAGTCCTTTAGGAAATCCTTCAGTATGGAGTAGATGGCTGACAAGTCATCAGCAATACAAGATCATGTCTCTCCTTTAGAGTTCCAAAAATTTGCTCCATAAAACCAAGTGAATCTGCAAAGGTTATGCTAAATTTTAAAAACTATTACAGAGAACTAGTTGGAAAGATGGACCACCTCAAGTTTGACATGAGAATGCTTTGCAAGAACGCGCATATTTTCAGGATGAAAAGGCACCAAAGGAAGATTTTTGCTGTCATTACCAAGTAACAGCAGATTACCGAAATTAGTGCCCTGTTTATAGAGCTGGCAGGTTTCATATAAGATGTTATAGCATGAGGCATATTTGAAGTGTTTTAAATTTAAGCCACCACATAAACCTCACGTTTTCACCAGTGGGAGAGCTGCATACCTCTGACAAATTTTCTGCAAGGCTGGAGGAACTGCTAGTGGCAACTGAAAGTTCCATTGGTTTTTCTTTTTCTTCTCTCCCTAAATGAACAAATATTATGTAATGTTGTCAATAGGATTAAGTATTCAAAGCGTGGCATTGTTAGGCAGAACTTGGGAACAAAGATTATAAATTTTCCTTTCAATATAGAGCGAAAAGAAAATTATCACAAAATATGAAAGCATCAATCAAATAATAGTCAGTTAATGTTTCCTGTACTAATGCAAACAGTTTTAAAGGTGTGTTTCAGATTTTTCTGGCACCATGCATAAGGTGTATCTGTCATGTTACTTTACTCATTGCAGAGGTAGGAGAGGAACCAGACATAGAAGATTTCCTGAACATAAAGACAGGTAGGTACCCAACTTGCACTGAAAACCTAGGTTTGACTGTCACAGTAGGAGCAGTTCACTAGATTTGTTCTTGTGCATTATCCATTCATTTACACAGAAATAATCCAAAATCCTCACTGAGAAATCATTAAGCACACTGCACCTGTTTCTGGTTGTTGATCTGAGAATCTAATACTCTGTACAGACTGGACCAGTTTCTGAGGAATGTGTAGGACCTGTAATGGTTTACACTGCTGATGTTTCTCTTTTGGCAAAGGTGAGGGTTCAGGCTCTTCAAACATCCTAAACAGAATTAAATTTAAAATCATTAAGTTGCAATAGAAAAGGAACCATAAAATATAACTGCTTCAAATAAGTGTAATTTTCAAGGGAGTTGGATGTTGTCAGCGAGGTTCTACCATTCTCAGCACCAGTAGCTGATAAAAATTGAGGTTTTCTTTAAATAATATCAGAGAATATCACTGAAAAAAAGAAACCACCAAGTAGTAACAAGCCAATCATAAGAACATTGATGACTTAAATTTTGTCAGTATCAAAGAAAAGAATTAGCAGTTTGCAGTTTTACACTTTGAATAAAGTACATCATTATTGTAGTTCTGAAATCACATTTTCACATTTAAAAACACTTTTTCTCTCTCTCTCTCTTTCTCTCTGAGATTGTCTGGAATACTCACACTACACACATACAAAAGAGAAAACTGCAGCAAGTGTTTTCACTTATGGGGTAATTATCTGTGTAGGGTAAATAGTTCTTTACAGTGGAGAAAGACAGAGGTTAGCAGAACAATGAAGGGTAAAGTGGCTATTTGGCACAGGAACGTTTACCATTTTTTAAAATAATGAGTTCTATTCTATTTTCTCTCTGGCATTCCTGCTTAGCGCCTCTGTGCTTCCAGCTACAACATCTGGTCTGTAACTGGCTGAACAATGCTGGCCAGAACAAAGAAAGAACTGAGTCCGGCTGTCGGTTCTTCTTGAAATTTTCAGTAAACAAAAATAAGATAAAATGTAGGATGCACTCTATCTTATAGAGTGGAGTAAAATTAGCAGCACTAATTAAAAACGCCAGCTAGAAGCACTGGTTAAGATAGATGGACCTAAAAACACATTAAACTCATATCCATACACAACTGTGCTCACATAAAACTGTGAATGCCCCTCAGTCAAGTAACTCTGAAGAAAAGGACCATTTTCACGTGTAGTTACATACGCACCTGGTGCTGTGCTGGAATGAGACCTAACCAGCTATACAAACCAGATACCACCTGACATAATAATAATAAAAAAAACTCCTATGAATATTAAAGATTTTTTTTTTAAATTGTATAATTTAGTTACACTGATTATAGATAAACCTGTGTCGAGAATGAATATCACAGGAAATAAGATGTCTATATGGCTGGTGCATCTTTAAATTAAGATGCAGGGAGCACAAAATCAAAGGGAAATCAAAATAGCCAAGCACAGAACTCTGGCTGAAACTGCCTCACTTTGTTCAAAGTGGCTTATTTGGCCACTTCACCACAATCATCATTCAAAGATCAGTGGAATGAGGCTGCAGTAGTTGAGGTCATCAGCTAGACTGCCAGAGACAGTCTAATAAAGGCGGGTTGTTTGGGGTGGTTTTTTTTTGGAGGGGGGTGATATTTTGTTTGTTTTTTCACAGAACTGAGGATGCCGAGTTGTGGTTTTAAAAGTTCTTGCAGTCACTTTCCATGTGCTCCTGTAAAGCCTAGCAGAGAACTCTACCTTTCTAAAGATTTACTCTCCATTAAATATATTCTCCATGTTCTCAATAAAAAATATCCTTTTACAATGCATATCTATTCAGAATAATGTATCAAAGGCAGCTACAAACCAGACTCAGAAACTCTTAAATATGCACTTTTTAAGTAACAGAGCCTGCAGTTAAACTTTATGCTCCCTTCCCTCCCCAAAAACACTGTTGACAAATAAACCATGGGCATCTTCTCTGACATAATTAATAACCACTGGAAGAAAAATCAAAGTGCAAACTGAAGCTCAAAGCAGTCCAAATTGCAGTAACAAGAAAGAGCATTTGTCTTCTTTCTCTGCTTCATTGTTAGGAGACATCTGAGTAGATAAAAAAATCTTTATCTTGATCCATACTGCAAAACAGGGAACCTTTTTTAAAGTGTAAAGAAAAAAATAGATGTTCTTAAGTCAAAATAAAGTGGCATTTCCTTAGTAGTATTTCTTCACTGTAGCACAACGAAGCCCAGAAATTAATATTACTTCATTTTCACTCTAGGAATGGAGTGTATTTGATTGAAGAATCACACCTGGTTCCTGTGGTATTTACAGGACTCTCCTGAAGCCATTTTCAGTATTCTCATGAGCCGCATGGCAGCAATTCCTTTGGGAAGCAGGACTTTTAATGGCTAGTAACTAAATAACTGCCTATGAAGTTTGGTGAGCATAGGGTTGCCTCTTCAGGTATGTTTACATTAGAAGTCCTGAAACAACTTTTTAAGTACTTTTCCAAGAATTATATTACCAAGTTTTTTCTTTGGTCAGTAAAAGTTAATCTCTTGTAATGCAAAGATACTGAAAGAGCAGCAATAATCTGCCATGGAATATCTTTTCTTTGAAGTTTTAGCAAAAAGCTCTATCTCGGAATGTAAGAAGTAGAATTAATATATGACCAAATTGGAAAAAGAATAAATACAGAATTACAGAATAACTAAATTAAAGCTCTCTCAAACATTTTAGAAAAGCAGAGAGAATGGGCATGATTTATGCTGTAGCACAGTTCAAGATATCAGCCTTTCTATGTAATAAATACAATCTCTAATTGAGAAATCAAGACTTGGGCTTCAGAAGAGTTGAGTCCTATTTGGTGGCTGACAAGAACTCTAGATTTGCAAATTTTCCCTATGATGATTGTCAGGGTAACTGGTGAATTATGAAAGCCCCCAAATCAGAGAAAAGCTGGTATGAGCAGAGGAGCCTGTGTTTTGCCCTCAGCCTTATCAACAACTGACTGGCCAGCAAAGGGTGAGCCCAACTAAAATGTTCCAGGCCTTTTAAAAGAACATTTACCACTTTCACTCTCCTGCCTAAGGGAGAACATATAAATCAGCACCTATTAATTGACTTGCAAGTTGGTTTCTTGTCTTGTAGCCCTCTAAAGCATTTCATGGGTATTAATTTGTACATTGTTCTGCTCAGTGCTTTCACTGCTCTCTTTGCTTCTTTTCCGCTGGTGCTGCTGGTTTCATGCTGGTCTGGATCAGTTCATGGAGACTCACAGTACAATTCCCTTTTTTTCTCTGCTTATTTTGTGGCAGAAGATGAAGATATCTCCTCCATACAAAGATTTCTTTGCTCAGTAGTATCTTTGTAGTGACTGCAGGACAGCTCACAAGAAGCTATGGCCTTTGGTACCCACGTTCTGCTGTTGTATTTTTGTACATTGCCTTGAGTCTGCAAAGGTTTTATTTCACATGTCTCATTTTCTCAATACATTTTCTATTTGGTTTTTTTTCCCTCACATTGTTTATGATCACAGCTTCATAATACACCTGTTTTTAATATCAGTAGTTACTTAAACAGTTGCTTCAATGCTTTCTAGTGAAGACTTCTTTTAATAAACTAACGTCAAATAGGGGTTTTAAAAATGGTTTTATGCCCCTTTTTTACAGGGCTCAAACTCCTTTAAAATTTACTCTAGGAAAAACTTATTAATTAATAATCAGGCTCTGGTCTGATAACACTTGCTGTATCACATAAGTGCATACACGGAGATTAAAAGGCACTGTGAGTTAGGGCAGTGTAAAAGGTTTACAACTCCTTCTCTCCATGATGCAGCCCATGGAATTATTGCTTCAGTAAGAGCACCAAAAAGATCTGCCTGTGTGCAGCCCAGACACAGCTCCAGGTGGAGGTACAAGCACCTGAAGGGTCCTTGACAGGGAGATAAACGCAGAGGGATTCTTACACCTCCATACCCAGAGCACAGACCTCTGTCTCTTATAATAGGTCTCTAATTGGCTTTTTTTTTGTTCTGCAGACTGAAGACACAATAATTTCTGTGAAAATTCAAAGGGAATGCTTCCCATCTTCCTTTTTTTTTTTTTGCCTTGTCCTGCAGCTAAGGGGGTTTCTTGCTTCCCCATGTTTCTGTTCTTGCCAATTACAAAAAGCTTACATAAGGAGGTAGAACAGGTGTAAAGGCTTAAGCCAAAAAAAAAAAAATCATCTGAATGATTCATGGGTAAGAAGGTATTAAAGAACTAAAAAAATCCCTTTGGAAAGGATCTCAAGGATGATACATTTCTATAGATGTATTCCACTAAATCCCTGCTTAAAGTCCAAAAAAGATTCTTTTTCCAGTGCCCCATAATACAAAATCACACTTTGGCAAACCTTCTGGACATATTTTAACTTTAAAATGGGTTTCAGTCTAAAAGTGTCAGCTCAACAGGAGATGTTTCAGCATTCACAAGGACTCCAGATGAGTATAAGGTAGTCCTGATGGTGATTTTCAGTCATTGTAATTAAGCTCAAATTAAAGTGAGTCCCAGCTGTAAATGATCGCTGACTAATTTACTAAGCCATTAATCCTGTCCATGAAACTTTCACTCATGCTTGTTTTTAAGAACTAAATTAAGAGTTAAATTTCTTAAGTAGTTCAGAGGTGAAGACAACTGACATGTGGAACCCTGACTCTTTTCCCCAAATATGCATTTAGCAGAGTTAATGTATTTTATCTCTGCACAGTCAGCGTGGTTGCATTCAGAACTCACAACACTACTCACACAGATTTCTCAGCAGTAGCTGAGGAGCAAAGGTTTCCACAAAATACTTTAGAATAGTATTCTTTGGATACATTGAGCTTCCAAGAATCAAAATTTGCCACCATCTTAATCCCCAGAAATATAAAACTTTTAAAATTGCATCATTAAATCACATGATCAGGGTTAGACAAGCTTGCCACTCCATTTTTAGCAACAGTTTGTGTTTTGTAGCACTCTTTGTGTAATGTTGAGATACTATGAATAAAAACAAGGAAAATAAAACCATTTTGAAGTGTACCTTTCTTTAAAGTCCTCTGACCTCTGAAGACTTTTTTGATTTTTTCCTTCAATCATTTCAGAACCATTTTGATCTTCTGTAGCCACTTCAAGTGTCTTAAAAGATAAAGAACAAATGGTATAAAAATTGACAAAATTTTAAATCTTATAGCTGTGTTCTTCAGAAGTTTTCTAAACCCGAGGAATCACTGCACAGTAGTAGAGTTATTGCAGGCAAGACATTCTGAAGAAATAAGCAGAACAAGGTTAAAGAGAGGAGATATTTTTTGTTGGACAGACTGCAAAAACTGGAACAAACATAGAAGTTTTGGATCACAGGCTCTGCACATCTGTTCAGGACCTGGAGCTCCTTACATGGTCTCCTTCAAAGCTATAAGCAAATTCACCTCATCCCTTCTCACTGTGTGTTTACACAGCACACATCACTTTAGGAACTTCAGGCTAGAACTGTGAGTGTCAAACAGGATCACTAAATATTAAATATAAAGCCAGAAAACACCACCTGTGCTCAACATGCTTCTATCAGCACGAGACAGTAAATGGAGTGAATTGATCAGCTGGTCCAGAGAGGTAAAAGCATCCAGATGCAATGCTATAAAAAATTACTAAACCTTTACAAGATTGGCCTAGTGGGCTACTCAGGCTTAGAACAGACCTTTTACAGAGGACTGGGTGCAACTTCTGCACTGAAAAAATCCCTTTTATTTTTTGAAGACCATCCCTTTGGAATCAGTGTTTCTTCTAGTCAGTGGGACTGTATTGATCAGACAGTTTTACCTCTGAGGGTTATCTACCCACACATTTATTTTGAAAAAGAAAAAAGAGAAAAAAAAAAAAAAAGAAAAAAAAAAAGAAGGAAAGCAGGAATTTCCATATTTCCATTATTCTTATTGTAAATCATATTTAGTTAAACACAAACCCTTAAAAACCAGTAGGGCCTGTGAAAGCTGCACAGTCAAGCCCTGGGGCTCACTGAGGAGTGTCCCTGCTCTGCTTTCAAGTGACTTCTCTTGAGATGACACCAAAGTCCTCCTGACACGGTGCCCTGACAGGAACTCTGGCATAGGCTGAGGTCAACAGAAAGCAAGCTTTGAGAGCCTTTACATTCATGGACCCCTTTTCTCTAAGGAAACATATATGATGCTACAGAAACATGAGACTGGAATCATCCTCTTGGTCTGTGTGCTTGAAAAAACACTGCTTTTTTTTTTTATTATGTTTCAGAAAATACAATGGCAGGATGTATAACTGCATGACGTGTATTTCTCAGAAAATAAAATTAAAATACGGTTACCTTTTTGAAAGAATCAATCTTCCTTTCTAATTCTTCTGCTTCTGTTTTCAGTTTGATGGATTCTTGTGCAGCAACTGTGGCAAGATGTAACATTTCCTGTGTTTTTCGCTTCGAAGATGCACTTCCATGTTATGGAATAAGTATTTCAACAACGTGTATTTCTTTTTCAAGCAAGGGAAACCATCAGATCCCTGACCCCTCTGTGCCATAAGAGCAAATGCCAGAGGTGAAGAAAGCTCTGACAAATCTACATTGCCTTGCCACACCTTCGAACCTAACTTCAGTTAAGCTTCCCTAAATGAAGAATTTTGATGGATATGTTATTAAATGATTTTTTTAATTCTCTCTCTGGAAAGTGCTGCCATAAATTTAAACTGAAGAGACCTTCAATTTTCTCACCAAGAAATGCTGATGCTGTCACTCAAAAGATATATATATAAATAATTGGTCTTTTCTAATAGAAAGTTGTGAAAGGTAAATATAAACTTTTTTCCCTGCTAACTGCATAAACATTACAAATAAAGGATACATGTGTACAGCCCAATCATTTACAGATTTAAAAGGAACAGCCTCTGCAGAAACAAAATTCAATTTCAGAACAGTAATTAACAAACCTAATTTTCTTAACAAATACAATATAAATTAACAGATCAGGAGCACTTATGTTTACTTAGTATAGATAACAGAAATTGCAGTGTAACAATTATGCCATTAACGTGCACTAAAAAGATACTAAAATTAAATTTAAAACTCTGAGGGCCTCGATCTAAAGGATTCTTAGAACATTTTTACCCCAAGAAGCCCAACAGCAAACCTCTCCCCATTACATTTAGGGGTTGGAGGAAGGAATATTACTGTATATACTCTAAATTTTTATTTGCTACAGATTTTTTTCCCTAAAAATGGTGTAACACAAAGACTATATTTTATTAGCTTAAAGGAAACTGTGGAAAACGAGAGGATTTCTGTATGGCACCTTTCATGTGCAGTGCCCTGCCAAGAGGCTTTACTGTAAAAGCATTTAGAAGAGCAGTACCCAGAATATCTAAGCAAGCATCTTCTTTCCATTTGTATTTTTCACAGCATTTCAAAACCCTCCTTTGGATTTCTTCAACTTCCTCCTTTTTCCTGTAATATTTCTGGGCAAGAGGAGTCTCTGCATATTTTTTGCGGTGTTCCTCCAAAACCTTCTTGTACTGGGTTATGTAATCCTCATACATTTTCCTATAAAAATAAACATGTAATTTAATTTTTTTTTCAAGTGAAGCCATTGTTCATAAGGAAAAATCTATTAGTTTGCAGCATCAGTTCTGGTGTCCTAGAGAAGAAAATTCGGATTATATTTAATATGCCACTCTTTGGTTTTATTGTTTATTTTCTGGCTATTTTTAAGGAATGCTATGCTGTATGTAACAAAGGACACAGTCACGATGTAAAAACCAGTCAAACCTCACTGTTCTGAAAGGAATGGAGACCACACCACGTTCAAAGCCAGCCTGGCAGATGACAAACATCTTTTTTCCTGTGTAATTGTCATGAAACTCACTTCAGGCCAAAGTCTCTGCTGGTGTTCACTGGCACAACTCCATCAGCTGCAGTGGAACTGTGTCAAACTTACAGTAAGAGAGGATTTGGCCAAACACCCCACATTTGGAGCAGCCTGATGCACCACTGGACTAAGAGCTGCCTCCAAGGAGATGCTGAGTAATCTCTGTCTGACTCAGGGAAGCCTTAAAACACACACACGAGTCACACTAAAACAACAGGACTATTCACACTTAAGGTTAAGCAAACACGTCAATGTTTAAATGGCAAAGAGCCAGAATGCTCAGCTTCTTGCAGGGCTGCCCTGTAAATTAATGTTACACTAATATGATTTCACTGGCACCCTGTGAGCACACAGCTATGAGTTACTAAGGTAGGTGACATCAATTAATGTTCATGGCATTTTTAAAACTCTCAATCAGCTTTTGAAAAAAAGTTATGCTGTGAAAACTAACAAATACCACAAGTAATAGGGTGCAACTCATCACATAGAGCAGAAAAATTTAGGCATGTGCAAAATAGATAATAAGAGTGTGATGGTGAGTGTTTCTGCAGATGGAAGATGTTAATAAAAAGGTATCACAGCTACAGACTGGATGTAAATTACTTAGGAAAAATGTTTAAAATAGTGACAATTTCTTAACACCACTACACTATATGTGGCCATAAATATTGATTTGTGAAAAACAGATTTTGGGAAAAGAATATAAAGTTAGTAAAGAGGTTAATAAATGAGGTATGTTAATAAAGAGGTATCACAGCTACAGACATCCAGCATATACCGTTAACAATAAATAATCATTTAATTGGGAAAGAAATGATACACAGAGATCCTTGTTATCACAATATGCCAGTATAAAGTCACAGAAGGTAAAGGAAATGCCATCCTGGAGGAAAAGGTTAGGCTAGCAATAGAGAGGGACAAATTTAAAAATATGAAGTTATTAGTACGCCTATAGATTAGCGAGGAATTCCTTTATGGAGAAAATTTCGGTGCAAAACAACAACTAAACCCGGAGAGCACCTCTTTACCTGCCCCACGAATCAAGGCTGCGTTAAGGAGCAGCCCTCTCTGCTAGCAAAGCAGACGCTGTTCCTCTCTAAGGAACACATTTTATCTCAAACTGCTGTTAATCACTTAATTGCAGCAGGACTGAAAGGCTGCGCTTGTCAGTCCTGGCTGCCCGTTGGCAACCCCAGACAATGGAAGAGAGAAAAACTTGTGTGCAAACTCAGCACTAGAAAATTCTGCTCTTACAAGAGGAGAACAAAAGTCACGGGAAGCAAAAAAACAGGAAGATTTTAATTTTCAAACAAAACTACACTCCAGGCACTAATTCCTGTTAAACTGACTGAAGTTCAATACACTTTAAGGAAAGAAGTGGCAGGTCAGCACTGTGAAACCTAGGAACTGACACTTCCCAAAATTCACACAGAAAATTACACCAATCTGTTTCTCTACACAGGTGGTCTCAGGAACCCAAGTTCCTTCATTTACTTGACATTTCTGTATACTGCACAAAATTTCCCAGGAATGAAAGATGAAAAATATTCAATTCTATTTAATTAAATAGATGCTACAAAAATGACAGAGAGGGAAAAAAAGAAAGAAATATACAATTTAGAATGCCTTACAAGTAAATTTAAACAATACAAGTAAGTAAAATAATTTGTTGCAGCAGGTAGCATTTCAAGCTTCTGAATATAATCCTAAAATTTCATATTCTTTTCCCAAAATCTATTCCTCTCAGATTAATATTTATGGCCATACATAGCGTAGTAGTCTTAAGAAATTGTCACTGTTTTTAATATTTTTCCTAAGTTTGTGCAGATAACACAGAGTATTTAGAATTCAGCACTGTTCACACTAAAGTCATTAGAAAAAGTTTTAATCTAATTGCAATGGGAAAAGGGTAGTGCTCACAACCTCCCTAAACATTATGTGGATGGCAATTTATTCCTCTTTCTTTCTTCATATCACTTTTTTCAGGATAAACTTCCAGTTCCTATGAGCATTCTTATATCTTCTTGAAATCAACAACAATGAAAAAATGTGGGATGTTTTAAAACCTCCATAATTGCCTAATTAAACACAAACTGATCTGCCCATCTTTTAAAAACATCTTTCCATCTAAAGCAGCACGTCCTCAGTGCCCACAAATCCCAGGCTGAAAAGCACATTCAGCTCATAAAGTTCTAAATATACTGATTTTTCTTCCTAATTTAAATACTTAGAGTTTACTGAATGCACATCCAGCTGACTTGAGCATATCATCGAATGCTTCAGTGCAGGAGGATTATATTTGAGGCACAGTTCTGAAAAATATATGAATTAAATTTATTTCCTGATGTCTTATAATTAAGCTTAGGAAAACAGATCAAACACTTTCATGTTGGAATTGAAACTAGTTATCTAAAGAAGCAATTTAAAAGTAATGCTTCTTTGGCTTGTCAGCTCAAATTAGTGAAAGCCAAGATGGCTTAATCATATACTCATAGAAAGCCAATTTAGCCTTATTTTTCACCAAATTTAGAGCTCTGAACAGGAAGAAGACAGATAAGCTACTAACTGAGTTAATTAAAGGCTATCAGGCATGCTATTTCTGCTGCCTTGGACAACTGGCAAAAAGAACACTTACAAAAGACCCAAAGCCAACCTTTTAAATCACCTAAATTTAGGACTCTAAACTGGGTTTTAGGTATCTGGAGGGGTCTGCTGTGACTTTTGCACTGCAGGGCTGAGCAGCCTCTTCCCTCTCACATGCAGATCAGTGAAGGTGAGCAGCAGCCTCTTTAAAATGAAGGTTTGTTTCAGTCTTTTAAACAGAACTTTGGAGGGTTACTTTGGCACAGCACATTTGGAACCTTTCAGTGAAAATCTTCAGGGACTGCTCTGGATTTCACTGAATGCAGGCAGCTACATTGCACAGTTAATAATTTCTTTTGAATGCAGGATCTAATTCATGAAGATGAAACACCTGAGATGACACTTGCTGAACAGAACTGCAGCTGCATGCTTTGTGTTTATTTTGAAAAATATACAGCAGTATATAAAAACTTGGTTTTGTACATTCTAATAATCATATACAATTCATATTCCAAAATAAAGAAAAGCATGAAGCCATCTGAATACTTCTAATTGTTAGCTGAAAAAAATTGTCTTTAGTTCTTGAGCTTTTCTTGAAGCAGTAGGCAATTGAACAATGTTCTGAAAAATTGTAATAGGGCAATTGAAGAATCCATATTTTATCCCATTCCATTGGTAACTACAAAATAAGATATGACCTTGTGATAATGTAAGCCAAAAATCCTCCTAGTTATTCAGTCACTTATATTTTTTCCTTTAAAGTTTACAACAAGTTTTGATGCAGATTGATGGGTCAGGTGAACAAGAAACCTCCTCTCATGTGACCACAGGTACCTCTCATTTTCTGTAGCTTCCTCTAAAGCTTCGAGTTCATTTTTCAAATATTCTTCATGTTTGCTAAGAATTTCATAGGTGGGCTTCCAGCTGTGGAGAAAGCCAAAAAAAGAAAAGAAAGTATATTAGTGGTCTTTCTTAAGAAAAGCCATTCAGAAAAAAAAGACATCAAGTTACTTTAGTAGCTTACTAGAACAAATAATTTATTAATGTTTCGATACTCAAAAGTAAATGGGTTTAGTACAGAAGTCTTTCACGTGCGTACTTTTATTTGTTAAGATTTTAAAGCCACAAATTCATGAAAATAGTTATATAAAAACGATTGAGGAAGATTACAAAGCAGTTTTTGAGGAATTAATGGAATAGGTTTCACACTTTTTTTTTTTTGGAGCCTGGTGCTAAGCAATGAGGCATCTAAATCCACTAATTAGTTAGTCAAAAGAGTAAATCCTTTAGATATGTACAATCTTCTTGTTGGAGATGCCCAGAACTTCATTCTCATGAGTATCACCAGCACCCATCCCATACCTAAATGCAAGCAGCAGCCACAAACAGAATTTCCTGCATTTTTTAAGCAAGTGCTGCTCAGAAAACACCAAAGTGATTTTCCTGGAACAGGATCATGCTGTGGATGGTATTGAAAGCACAGCAGCTTCATGGAATACTTATGGCTACTAAGCTAACAGGACTTTCTCAACACGCAGGTATTAGAGGTACCTCTTCCTTGGATGTGGGAATATTAGAAAGAGAGACAGAGAGACTTTCTGATTCGAGTGAAATTCAGATGTGAACTTTAGGAGAGGTACATAAAAAGGCTTTTGAAAAGAAAGCATCCTGCCTGAGAAAAAAATAAAAAATAGCGTAAGAAGCATCTGAACAGGCTGGGCTGGAGTGTGGCAGAGATCCTACTGCCAATGAAAAAAAATTACATGGAATCTACTACAGAAAAAATTAGCACACCCTCTCTCTAGCCAGGACTTGAAGGATCTATATATTCATGCTTAGTCCAGAATGCAAGCTGCCCCAAACAGCACTAACACCTACAATGAAGTTTGAGACATCTATCTGTCCTAGGAGATGCACACAAAAAAACCCCATTTTTAGGAACACATGCACGGATAGTATCAAAGCTTAATGTTGAAGAAATGGAAAGCAAAATCCATTAGGACTGAAGAGACTAAGTGAATCTGGAACAGCAGAGATACAGTTACATCAACCAAGAGGAGGGGAGAAATGGCGATACAGAACAAGGCTGCAATTGAACAAATAATTCAGAGAGCAGCTGAGGACATACAGCTCACTGTGCACTGCACAGCCATGAGTAGGGTAAATAGAGGGCATTTTTGGATATAAGTATACCCAATGGTTCAAAGTTGGAGGGTTTGTGGCATCCAATCACACAAAGTGTGAACATCCATTTGAATAATCACTCCAAAGGTAAAATAAAACAGAGGCTTCAGTAACAGCTGAGTTACTGCAATTTCCATCAAGGAAATAAATAAACAGCAAAGATCTGGCAATTAATTTGCTGAACTGAAGTCAAGTAATCTTGAACTGCAGGTGGTGAGACAACACAAAACACAACCAGCATTTGTAACAGCAGTAAAGTTTGTCAACAAAACAGCTCATTGAGGAATTGCAGCCTCCTTCAGGAAATTCAGCACCGTCAGCACAAATTGTGTGACACCACCGGTGATTAAAAATATAATTACAAAAATTTTACTTCACCATATCTACTGCAAATGCAGCAGAAGGCTGGATTTCTAAAAGGTCAGATTTTTTAAAAAGCAGAAAACAGACATACTTATATACTTATGTACTGGCACACCAATGCAGTGATCTTCTTCTTCTACTCAAAAACCCCCATGCCTTTCTTTGGAGGAAAAAGCATCCAAGAGATACAAAAGTCCTAAAGCTTTTATTAATCAGAGTATGAATCATGTTTACATGTGTAAACACATGTTGCATTTTGTGTTCATGTCTATTCTGTGGACATGTAAAAAACCCGTAGTACAAGGACACTGGTTTGTAGGATTCAAGGAGCTCATCTACCAGTTTGCTAAATGCATCACTGTTTCAGGGATCACATCACATTTATGTGACCTTCCTTTCATCAGACAGGGTATTAAAAAAACCAACTTGTTCACACTAATCTGCAAGCAATAAAATTGTCCTGTCATTTGGGAGTTTGGCTAGCAGGACAAGACAATTCCTTTTCCAAACTAACAACATTCTGAGTTCATCTGGTTTTTTTTCTTCTTATCTTTTTTTTTCTGTTTCCATGAGATCTCACCATCCTTGCACCCAAATTTAAAAACTGTAAGAGAAACACTAAAATTGGAATGAGTTCCACCAGTGGTATTTCAGTACTTCTTGCTGCTCTGGGATCAACATTTACAGTTTGAATCATTCAAGAAAATAGATATTAGCAAAACGTCATCACTTGTCTAAAAACATATTACATTTGGCTCATTTTATGCCAGTTCTTTGCTACATAGACCAACATGGATTTCTTTAGAAAACACATTATTATTCCAATCCATCTGTCTCACATATCATATTTTTTATAGACTTCCTGAATATAAGAATCCTTTATTTTGTTCAAAGTCTTCAAATCTGCTTCAATACACTCATGATCATGTCTAGTAACCCAGACAAAACACTGTTTCTTTGAGAGCTCTATTGAGCATCACTGGCAATTAGTCAGCTGAGAGGGTGATTGTGACTCCAAAACAATATTTGAATTTGCAAAACCAACATTAGAATCATGTCCAGTATAGATGGAGTGTCAACTAGAATAAATTTTAGAAGTTTAGGATGATTCTACTATGTAAGTGCTCTAATTGTCTGATCTTACAACTGGGGCTTGTTTATTGCAGTTTTCAGTGTGTCGTTAAATGACATTTCCAATAATTTAAGACACAAAGTCTCTACTCTTCTGCAAGCATTGTCCTTCTATGAATACATTTATTCATTAATGAGTCACTTCTCATTTTCAGTCTCTTTACACTAATGCCATTAATTATTCTTTGTAGGACTTGAGCCAAAACCCATTCAATTCAACGATTAAAATTTAGATCAGATCCTTAATTCTGCCCTTAATTTTTTAAACTTTTTTTTTCATTTCATTTGCATCATTCAACAGTTTGTGATTTGCAAAAAAATCACAAAAAAAAAAAAAATCAAAGGAAGTGGTGTGAGTAGTTTCATAAGCTTACATAAGTGTTCATTTTGTCCTGCATTGGAGGCAAGAATTTAATGTAATGGAAAAATGGAATTTTCTTGCCAAGGTCAAATGTTTTCCTAACCCTTTTTATGATAAAGCTACAAACTAGTATGGTATGGCTATCCATTCAAACAGCCAGCCACATACCCACTTCATTCACTAATGATTTCATTCTTTCTTCTGTTTTCTGAGGGTTCAAAATAAAACCAGAAAGGATCCTGATTCCATCTTTACTTCCCTCTTTATTTAGGAAACACAGTCTCCATTCACATCCCCAAACAACAAACAAAAAATTCAAATCTATGTTATAGATATTTTTATTGCATACTTACCTCTATATAGAGAATTGCAAGAAAACAAAACAGAATTTGCCAAGAAATCATCACTTCAGCTGCTGAGGAACTATAAAGGTTGTGGAGAGATGAACACTGTGATGGATTGTATCACCTGGGCCAAACCCTCTGTAGTGTCAAATACAGATTTGCCTTTTTGGCTACCCCTACAAACACCTGAGATTTCCAGTTTTGAAAATAAAACATTGTGTGTCAGGAAGAAAACACTCCTTGCAGCCAAACTGCTTCTTGAAAAGCTTCTAATTGCTAAGATCCGAAAGTGATCTGCATCTAAAACTGGCACTAATAACCTGAGACAAAAATTTATGTGAAGAAAAGTGTGAACATTGCATTCACCAGAAGAGTGTGCCTGGGAGAACAATTCTGCAGCCTGGAGCAAAAATCATGCTAAAATCTGCCAGTAGAAGCACACACATCTGTGTCGTAGAGACATAACCCTAACCCTTCTGGGAGAATATGTGCAGAACAAAAAGTAACATGAGACATGTTGCAAACAAAGAATAGAAAGATGTTCAATTTCAGGAAGGGTTTTTTTTAAAAGAGTATTATTACTGTTGCTCAAAGTTAACAGAACTCAGATGCATCCAAATATACAAAAATTATATTTCTATTACCTTACTACTTGAATAATTTAGCATGCCACAAAGACCTGCGATCTCTGAAAACTGTTGATTCTAATAAAAAACTAATCCAAAATTAAATGTAGTCTGATTTTCCATAATTAACTTTCTCAGGGGATGGGTAACACTGTAATTTTTTTTACTAAAGATTTACAGTTTGAAGAAAAGAGGGGAATCCTAAAGTTTTCTTTAACATCACCCCTAGCAGAACACACAGACACACACATTTTTCCATTGCTTCCCCACTGACTTCCTTGTTGCCAGGCATAACTCAGGGTCCAGCCTCAACTGTACTTACACATCGCAGTTCTTCTTACTGCTCTCATTTTGCTTTTTCAAATCAGCAATTTCGTCGTTGCTCCTATTTATGTTCTCCTCCAACCTAGCAATTTTATTCTTTTTTTCTGCGATTTTTGCAGTATATGCTAAAATTTTAAAAAAAAAAATAAAAAAATAAACATTCGACAGATCCATGAAATAAAAAGTCTACACTCAGAATTATTAAAAATTTCTTCCAAAATACTTAAATCTCTTTTAAGGTGAGTGGACGCTCTGTAATTAAGCAAAGCAATACCAAAGTGAGTCAAAACTCAGGGAGTTTCAGCTGCATAGTGAGTACCTTTGTTACCATCTAATATCATGAGATTGACTTTGGAAGAAAAAGTAATTATTTGTGATGCTCCTGAATCCCACTGTGTATAAAACTGAAGTAATTATTAGTGGTAGAAAGCAAAGCATTTTTAACAGTTCGAGCTGAGTTCTTGCAGTCCTCACTATCTGCAGACACTGTAAGTAGCACACAGGAAAACCAGGGTAAAGCCACTTTGCCCTCACTGATGTTTCCAACTGGGGAGACTGATTGAAACACAAAAGTTGCTAAAGATAAATGTCCCTTGGTTGTGTTTTAGGAATGGTATTGCCCAATTTAGTGTTCCCTCTGAAACGCTCCAAACCACCAAGCTCTCCCTACAGAAAGGTATAAAATGACCTCCGAGTCCTGGCCAGGCCCCTCCTGATTACGGCAAAAATTAACCCTGTCCTGGCTGGAACCAGGACACTCTTCCAAACCTTTGTTTTCTTTTACAGAAGTCCAGAAACCCAAATATTTTAAATGGGACAGCTGACTACAAGAAAGGAAAAATAAAAAGATCACTAAAGGCATAGAAGTAGTTAGTGGAAAACAGAAACAGATAAAATAAAATAAAAAAGAATTTTACTCAAGGTGGGAATGTGTAATGTATGATAAATTAATACAGGGCATGGGTTAATTAATGAAAAAAAGCTTTGTAATGACAAATTCTCAAGGACTTGATATTTGTGGAGATGATTAAAGCAAGCTCTTAATTCTGCCTTTTCTGACAGCAGGCAGCTGATAACACTTTCTGAGTGAGTGGTTAGGAGGGAATCCATGTTGTTGAAGATGATCAGTTGTCTTTCACAAGTAAGAGCTGTGAGAGCCATTGTGCCTGCTCACCTTGCAATGCAACGAGCACAGCTTGGTGCACTTCATTTTTCTCTGTGTTTTTTACTTTCTTTTTTTTTTTTTCTATACAAGGTTTCAGATTTGTCAGTGCCAAATTGTCCCTTGCTATCACTGCCACCCTGAAGCACTAAATGCCAGAGTAGGTGACCCTGCATGGAATTCGATCACGCACGTGTATGTGGCAGTATCTACCAAGACATAACGTAACTGTATTAACAAAATATACGCTTAACATTTCGTTTAGTGTTCTCTAGAGAATGAGCACCTCTGTGATTTGTTCAGCTCACGCTTTGCTTTCACAGGGACCTGGTGGGTGAGATGCATCTCACCCAACTTTACAGTGCAGGCACCTACTTCAGAACTAGACACCCATGGCTGCAGCTACGCTCCGCAGAGACAAGCTGACATTTTTAAAGCTTACTTTACCTAACCTGCTTTAAACTCTTCCTTCAGGATAAGTTAAATGACACCCTAAAAGGGACGGTTTCCCTCCACTGGTAATAAAGGGACTGTAGCCAAACAGCCTGATGAATCTCACACCAAAAGTCCGAGGCTGAATGCTACAGCTGTTCTTCTGCCAAGTCATACTCACACGGAGACAAAATTACATCAGTGTCACTATTTTTTTGGTAAGTTTTTGAAAGACTTAACCCAAACTAATAAAAGCCTGAGTGTTGCCTGTGAGTTTACAGATATTTAGGCGTCTCTGAACTGAACACAAGCAGCTATGCCATGTTACCACACAGCCTTTCGATTTTCCCTAAGAACTGCATAAATGTTAAGAAAAACCTCAAGTTTACAGTTCAATTACATGACTGAAGAGTTAAAGCAGACCTCTAGATGTGCCAGATTTAGTGTTCTAGGTGTTTTTATGTTTAAGATGCTTCAATTTAATACTGATGATCTTCTTAATGAGTAAGCACTTGCTCGGACATATCAGTGAAGATCGTTAGAAATGTTATAACCAAAAAGAACACTCATTAGACAGGAATTCTCTCTTGTTCTTTTTCTTGGAGGTTATGAGCTTCAATATCTGTACCAGTGGTGAGCACAGACTGGTTGTGGTAGAGAAACTATTCTCCAGACATTAATGTGAGTTAGTACATAGTAGCATGGTTCAAAAAAAAGCCAGTGTGTAAGTCCTGGGGGCGGGGAGGGGGGTGAAATTTGATGTGGAGCAAGATTTTCTCTTTGGGTTTACTGTTTTGAATTTCAAATAAAATAACCAGCTGCTTAATTGGAGGGGGGAGGGGGAAGAAAAAAAAAAAAAAAGAAGAAGAACCAGGCTTGAGTAGGTAGTAGCAACTGAGAGAACTTTCATTATTTTAAGCAAACAGAAAGAGAGAAGAGGCAGTGAGGCAGAGGTCCAAATCTGGAAAGAACAAAAAACATGCAGAAAGAAAGGGAGGCAAGTGGCAGATGTATTGAGCAAGCACAGCTGAATCAAAGAGCTGCCAGTGACTGTGAGGAGCTGCAGAGTCGGAGCAGGAAATGGCGCAGCATGAAACTGGCTGTCCATGAGGCAGCTGAACGGCGTCAGCTAAAAGTCGTGAGCAAAAGCAAAGTCTGCTGGGGAGAATGAGCAAGTATTGATGGCAAAAGATGAGGCAGGGTGAGAGCAGGACACGGGACAGCTCTCATTGTTCAGCTTGCTTCCGTCGCCGAGACACAGAACATGTCCCAAGACTAGTGAAACAAAATCAGTGTTCAGAATCTAATAAAATGATAATTTGTCACTACTCACAATTTATCTGTTGATTCACATGTTCCTTAGCAAAAGAAATCTGTTCTACCTGGAAAGCTTAAGAAGAAAAATAACTCATATATATGTATATATATGAATGTACATACATATATATGTTAGTTGAGTTGTGAAACAAATACATGCTGTTCAGCAGGAATTGCACAAACTCTGATTAACAATTATTTTAACAAAATATCTAAATAGCAATTTTACTATTAAATAGCTGTTACTACTACTCTCTGTAACCCCAAGAGCCAGCAAAACGTTATGTAGGCAAAGAGCAAAACCTTAATATTATATATTTATTTGAACTTAATATAACTGTTTAAAGCAGAAAACATCATTGCATGCACTGCATTAGTAATGATTAACAAAAAATGTATGATATAATGACCTACCAAGCTCGACCAGAAGTTTGTCCAAGTTGGTCAAAAGTTTGTCACTCATCGCGTAAACTACAAAAGAAAAATGCAGCTCAGGGATTTACACAGTCAAAAGCTTTACTGATACAATAAACAGGTCAAAATTGCAAGACAATACCACACATTTTAACATAAAAGAGAGAAAAAACAGTTTTAACTGCATTTGAATTACTGCCTAAACCATGTCAGTGGAACCAAATTTCTCACTGATAGTGGTAAGGGACTCAATGAAAGTCTAAACCACAGTTAGGAAAAAAGCAGGTTTACAATTTAGGGGAAGGGCTGCTCCTGGAGCAGTTCTACGTTTAAGAGGCTTAATGTTCTTAGAAGGCATGAAGGATGCAAGAAAAGATGCTTGTGTGCAAAATGTGTAGCCTCTGCTCCAGCTGGTTACTAAGCCTATGGACTGCAGTGCTGGTGATGGAAAAGCTCCTTAACCCTCCTGCACACTCCTCCCGTATAATCGCAGAGTATATTTGAATCAGAAGGTGCAAATACGTTCAGTGTGATTAAAGGCAGAGCTCTCACACAACGGAAAACAGACTGTTTACAAATTCACTGTTCTGTTTGCACAGCGCTGCTGGGAGCAGAAATTCAGTGATGGGTTTTTAAACAGACGGGGAATAACGAGTTTTCTAAACAGGGTGCAAACCGGGTTTATCAGAACGCGCTGGATACAGCTCGTCAGCTCAGGTACATTAACGTTAGCCAAGTTATGTGATACTTAACTGTCCCACAGAGGCTTCCCCACAGCACAGGGAAAGAAGTAAAGCCACGACAAATCGGTGATGAGGATGAGATCCTAATCCAGGATAAAGCAGAATAGAAAACAACTGCAGAATTTAACTAAAGTGGCATTAAGGCTACATCCTGCAGCACTGAGACTGTGGAAGCGGGAGGGGGCGGGGGGAGCGTTTAAAATGCTGGATGTTTGACAGAAATGAATTTATCTAATAGTTAAGGGAGGATCAGAACACCTAATCCAAGTGACCGGATTAGCACAGGCTGCGATAAAAACTCCGAGAAAGAGATAATAGTTTTACCAAATGTATTTAGAAGATTGAAACCCTAGTTCCTAGTGCCTGGAAACATTTGGGATAACAAATTAAAAAAATCTGAAAATACTAAGAAAAATGCTAAGAAATACTACCTCAAACCACAAGTCAATGCAGAATATTTTTGCTTTTACACGATGTGAAAGAAAATCTGAAGTAATTCCTTTGGATTAAAAAAAAAAAAAATTAAAAATAGTTTGGATCATTTATTAAAAATCTGTTCTCTAGAAACAGTTTAATAATGTTTGTTAGTTGTTTTTCTGATCCTTCCCATAAAAACTGCAAGATATTGGGGCAAAGAAATTCTATTCATTTGTTTATGAACTGAACACAAAGTTCATCAATAGAGCAGATTCTATAGCTGTGTATAATTAAAATAGAGGCTTATTTCATCTCTAAGACGATTACAAATAATTTTATCTTTTGAATATTTTTGTATTTTGTATAGAAACAGACGCGCTTGTAGCAAGCAGTCGCGCTTGTAGCAAGCGTGGGTAGAGCCCTTTCAAATCTTCGTTCGCGAAGCCTAGCCATGATGATGATAGAAACAGAACTACAGTGATTGTTCAAAAATTTTTACTGTAATTTTATAATACAATTTATGAAAAGCGTAAGAAGTTGAAGAAAGTAGTGCTTCTGAAAACATGTATATATAAAACACTTGTTGTTCTATTATTAACTTGTTATTTTTAAAATGAAGTAACATACCTGCAAATGACAAATGTTATTCAGTGCTGTGAATTAAGAGGATACAGGTGTCACTAGTAGAAAGGGTTGAGAGGTTCAGTGGCACTGGTGATACAAACGATGTTTGCAGGTTTTAAAAACACTAGTTAACACCAGCCTGAAACAAATTTTGGACAATTGATGTCTTCCAGGATTTGACTGGAGCACAGATTGATCCTTGGACCTACTGCAAAAAATTAGCATCAAACCATTATTCAGTTTAGGATGACAAATTCAGAGGGAATTCTCGTATATGGCTGATATTTTTGTAGAAGATAAAACATGTAACCCACAGGACTGGGTAAAAAAGCTTCAAATCGCATCTCTTATTTCTAATGGGGCTACTCAGAACGCTGCCAGGTGAAAAATATTATTATTATGCATCTCGCATTTTTGCACCGCATTAATGTAGTCATAGGGAATTCAATTGCGGCAATAAAGTTTCTTATATTACAGGATTGTATTGGGTGAAGAACCCACAAGCGAAGTGCCTGATGGAGTCTGTAGCCATTACAGCACTAATATTAATGCCACTTCTCAGTAAACCCATCTGGCAACAGCCCTTTCTGGGTTCTTCATTGAAAGGTGGAAAATGACCCCAAGCTGTGAGGTAAATATCTTCCTTAAAATCCAAGGCTCAGTTCTACCAGTTGTAGGCTGTGAAACGGTATTAATTCCTGTTGTCTTTATATAAATAATTTTCATTCCAGCGAGGCTCCTTTGAGATCAAACCGTAGTTCTCCTGTGCTATTCATTACTGTTTACGTCTGTAAAGAGACTGGTTATTTGATTCTTCATGAAATTTAGGGGAGCTCACATTTCTAGACTAACTTTTCACCTCAGTTGAAAAAAATAAAATTGAAATGTACTTCATTTTATTGTATGTACTCCTCTGCCCCTCTTTTGCCACAGCGTTTTTCGGAACCCCTTGAGGAGACCCGAACCCCGTGAGAAGACCTGAACCAAACATCCACTGGATTGCCACATTTCACTTAGTCCGGCACATACCAAACAAAAGGCTGTTGCTGCAGGTTATTCCCTAAAGTCCTGGAATTTGAAAATTAGAAGTATTTTTTTGTAAAAAACAAAAGTTGGGGGGAAACCCCTACCCTGTGGGATACCACCGGGGCTGCGGAGCAGCGCCACAAAATGGCGGCGAGAGAAGCGGGGAGCCCTTCACGGCGGAGGGGGAAGACGGGGAGGGGGCGGTCAGGGATCCCCTCTGTATTTTGTGGGCCAACAGCACTGGGGAAGTGCCCAGAACGTGGTGGCCCCTTCCCTCGCCACAAGGGAAAGGGCGAGGAGCCGTCCAGAGCCTCACTCAAGGCCGCCAGGCGAAGGGGTCGGAGCACCCCACGCCGCACCCCTCGGAAAACTGGGAGGATTTCGCCACACATCTGGGCCACCTCAGCCCCGTCAAAGGGTGCGGAGAGGGCGGCAGGTATCACCTTGTCACCTCCCCGCCGCCGCCCTCCGTACCGGGGGTGGTGGGAGCCAGGGCTGAGGGGTAAGCCCGGAGCAGGTTCAGCCGCAGGGAGAAGGGGCCCAGGCCGTTCACCCAGCAGCTCCCGGAGGGGCTCAGGGGCCGCAGCGCTGCGCTCCCTCAGGGACACATCAGCGGGGAGCCTGTGCCCCAGAAACCACCCACTTGCTTTAACAGCGGGAGTTATGAGGGAAAGACCAACATTTCTGAGGGCTCCGGGCGAAAAGCGATGAGGATGCTCCATCTACCGGGAGCAGTGCGCAGGAGGGGCGGGAGGCGAGCGGGAAGAGGAGGCAGCGCCGCTGGAACGGGGCATCGCCTGGAAACCTACTGGGGAGGGTTAATTACACGCGTACACCCTCCGGCATGTGGCACAAAAATAAGAAGGTGCAGAATGTAACGTGCTTTACCCACCCTCCAGGTCCCACGCGTGCTGCTGACCCAGCTGTGGGAGATCAGCCCAAATCTTCCTTCACGGGCCCGGCCCTCGGACAGCTTAAAAGGGCACTGAAAACCATTTAAAAACAGTTTAAATAGCACTAAAGGCATCTTCCTTCTCCTCCCTGAGCAGCTTCACACTGAGGATGCTGTGGAATGTCGCCCCTCGCCTCAGTACAAGTTGCGGTCACAAAATTGTGGGTGTTTGTTTATTTATTTATCGATGTGCAGCATTACAAGGCAAAAACGCACAGCCCGGGCACGGAAGAAACTAGAACATGATGTTTCCTTCCACACTGCGGTAGCCACGGGTGTTTTTCGCCCTCCCTGTTGAGATTACTGAGGCAGAGGATGGATTTAAAATTATCAATAAGCAAGGGGAAATAAATTGGAAGGGGGGTACAAGGCGGAGGGGAGACAATGAAACTGATGAAACAAGGGAGGACAGGAAAATTGAACAGGACTGAAGAGACGAACAGAAAAGTCTCTGCCACCCGCAGCCCCGGTGTCGGTCAGATGCAATGCTGCTTTCAGAACAGTCAGTTCAACCAAGAAGAAATGCAGCTTCAAAGGCAAATAGCTGACCTACCCGGCTTCAGGGCAGAGATGAGGAGGGGAATGAAAAGAGAGAGAGAGAGAGAAAGAGGAGGAAATAGAAAGAGGCATGTTCTTTTGGAAGCCAGATGTCTGCGGCCTCTGCTCCGTGCACACTGCTGGTGGTGAGGCTCCATCCTTTCCAGGACCATCTCCCACCTTATCTTCTTGCCGGTCCCGGAGGGCTAGAGCCACCTCCTTGTCCTGCTCCCCAGAGACACTCTAATTCCTAGTTGCCCCTTGGGCTCTGCAGCTGCTGCTTTGCAACCGGTCTTCCCAAATCAATAAATGTTCTTCCAAGGAGAAATTGCTTTAAAGCTTTGTCCTTCCTTAAAGACTCTTAGAGACCCCTCCCCTCCCCAACCTTCTAGAAATGGGAATCTAACAGCATAGTAGCAGGTAACTTCACTGATGGTCATTAACACCTCCCGGTGTCCCGGTAATTTAAGTAGCGGTGCCAAGGAGGGCTGAGGTTCCCACAGATCCAGGGACCCCAGTTCACCCGGAAGGTGGTCAGTCAGTTCAGCAGGCTTTGGATAAAGCCGGCGGGGACTTCCTGGTTAATTCCCCCTAAGGACTGTCCCCACCGGGACTTGTCAGTGCCCAGGAGCTCCTTTACCCATTTCTTTATTACAAGGACTCCCGTTCGAAGTTATCGCTCTGCACCCACCCGCTGCGTCCTGCTCGTTCTGCCGCCTTTGTTTTTTTCTTTCTTCCCAACAGAAATAA